CAACTTGGAATCCCACGCTGCCGTCATAACTTGGTATCCCTCGCCGCCGTCAATGCTTTGGAATCCCACGCTGCCGTCAACTCTTGTTGATTACGATGTTTGTTTGCTAATTCAATTTTTGCCTTCCCAATTAAACTCAATTAAATCGTGAAGATAAACGGAAAAACTGAGGTCTCGAAATAAGATTCATAGATGTTTAAGGGGTTTCTAGAACGGCCTTCTCTCTGCCTCTCGCAGTAAGTGATGAAATAAGAACGATGAAGATGAACAGCAGACATTCGACATACAAAACGCTCATACTCTCAGAAGTTACGAAAAGATATCCCAGTCGAGGTAAGCAAAAGATGGAGCGGTCGAACAGTATTTTGCCCTTATACTTTCTGCAAAGCTACGTGACACATGCCACGTACTCAACCTCTGATGAAGCCACAAAGTTCTAGCCTTTGCAACAGAACGCACATCGACCACACATTTAATTCACACAAACCAGATCACAACCCTGAAGTCAGCGCTCGAATGGCATACACATGCATGTATGTATATGTACTCAGTCCTCTCTCGACGGAGTTGTACAATCCGATCGGTAGCAATACACGTCTTTAAATTGGGCGAAATTACTTGTCAACAATGAACAGGCAATTTAATGGATTCGGCATCAACGTACGATATAATTATCTCTGCAAGGCGCATGGAAGGCAATCGCTCTGGCTATTTAGTAGACTCTGGTCGAGATTTTTGGTGGTAAAGAATGCTTTTGGTTGTGTGTTGATAAATATGTGCGTTAATACGAGGTGTTTGTGTGCACGCTTGCTTGCAGTTAAGTATAAACAAGGACGCTAGATGAGGTTGCTTGCGCACGTAACACGTGACCAGGACGAACTACTTGTATATCGGACGAGATTGTGAGTAGCTCTGCTGACTTGCAAAAGTTGTGTATGCCACACAAATATTTAAGGATGGAATTTGAATGTGAGGCGCTGTATAAAGCACTTGCAACGTATTGGTTTGAGGCGAATGCGGCTTAGATGGTACGGCCGAAGAATATTGAAGAGCCAATTGAATCTTCCGCGCATTCCACCAAATTAACTCGGTTTCCCAAACCGAACAGCTGATCAGGATGTTTTCCCTATATGAACTAAGCTTTCTATATCTTGCACTCTTTCCTGCCTTTTCTCCCTTTATCTCTGCATCTCTCTTGCAATCGGATGGATGTGTGTTGTGTAGTTAAGAATTAACCCAATAGATAAGACGAAATCTCTGCTCTCATTATGATGCTCACACTGCAAAACCCTTTGTATGACAAAAATGGCATCTTTCTCTCTCTCTCTCTCACGCACCGGTCACCAAGGAGTGCTTTGATCTTGTGGTGGAAATATGTAGTTTTCACTGCTTTCGTGCCGTGTGCCAAGTTAATTAATATAGGTATCAAAATTACATTCATTCAAAAAATGTTACATGTCAAATTACAAGGTAAGATTTTTTTAAAAATATATAAGGAATCAATTTACAGAATATCTTTAAAAATTGGTGAATATTACAATGCAAAAGTATTTGCGATATTTCAGTCAATATGAACTGTCACAATTTACATGAGATTTTTCTTCTCGGTTTACATTTACATATATTAGAATATGGATTTAAATTTCTTCACATTTCTTTATGCACTTGGCATATTAGTGGACCGACTACTTCATCGTACAGTTGTTATAATTTACAATCAGATAAAATTATTAGATTTTCTATAAACATCGTGGGTGATAAACAATTGAACTTAGATATTATAACAGAAAATTGGATATCATTGCCATTTGGGCAAGTAGAATGCTTGGATACAATTATCTTTTAAGGTATTTTAACAGAAAAGTAATTGTAACAAAAAAAGTAGTCGTGTAAACAAGGATTTCATCATTTTTAGGTGTACAATTTTCAAAATGTCCAGTAGAATGAGCAATTACATAATCAACATGTTAACTAGGCCATTGTCGTTTGGATTGATAAAACTTCTTTAATGAGCCTTTGCTAGAACATCTGCAGACCACATTCAGTGATTGAAATCGTTTCTTACTATGACTCGTTAAGTCACATGAGACCTGTAAATATATAATTTTATACTAACAGAACGAACCGTAACAAGTCTTACGCGTGTTTCTTTGATTCCCTTTAGAAACATTTCTTCGCCCACATTCGGGGACAGATACATCAGAACTCCTTGCCATCGCTCAATGCCAGGGAATTGGCCGAGCGGCGACTCGTACGGATTCGCACATTACGAAAGGAAACGGAAGACCAACGATGTTATAAAATGTGTATTCTGAGGTGCGACTTACAGCTTGTCCTTCAGTTACTAGATAACGTATAATTAGAACAAGACTATCGTGATTACATTGATTAGCAGTATATATGGTAAGTGTGTATATGGACGGCCACTTCTAGTTGTATCGTTCGATTCCCTTTAACGATCATCTGGATGCGTACAATGCCGTCATTTGTATGTTTAACAGTGACTTAAACATTTAATTGTTTACTGCAAATAGAGTGTTTAACAAATACGGATATTTCAAGTAAACACCTCATTTAATTGAAGATTTAAGGCTCGTTGATGCACTTCCTCAATGAAAAAAAAAATAGGCCGAGTAAATTCTGCAAGTTGCAACAATGGTAAAAGAAGCGAAGGCTCGTACCCACTATTTTGAAAATACTGATAATGCTGAAACATCTTGTTGTCACAGTTAGTTTCTCTTACGACATTACCAAGAAGTTGGACGTAATTTCAAACTGCAAATAAATGTTTAATTGAAGGAAAGGTTCATTTTCAAAGCACCTTCAGTTTCCTCAACTGCCACATGAGTCAATACTGAAATGCATCACCGTAAATTGCCGTTTATTCGTGATGGTTATCTCTAATAGACCTTTAGTTGGCAGAGTCGACCGATTATTATTCACATTGTAGATACATACAGGTACCGTTCAACTGTATCATATCGCTGTAATAAATAAACTATTTCGTTGTTTTTTGGTGCCGCGAAAATAAATTCGCTAGTAAAATCGTAAAGATATGTATGATAAATCGAGACATTTTAGTTTTACCAGTTTCAAGTGGAAGATATCCACGGGAACCGTTATTTCTATTTGGATGCCCTTTCACTGCTCATAAACCGATGTTTCACATGAGGGGCGCATTTTTTTACCGAGTGTCGTATGGCTTGATTCCCTATAGCCAGTATACAGATGAGATATACGCAGGTACAGATCTACTGCGTTATATCGCTACAAATTGTAATGAAAAAAGTTGCACATTTCCGAAAAAAATATAAAATAAAATAACAAATTATCCAATTCGTTAAACAATTAAATTCCCAGAGGTGTTGTAAAAAACATTGTCGATTGGCCTTTTAAAGCTGGCAAATATCGAATACCACGTGCTTTGGTTGTATAAAGATTTTCATCTAACCTCTTGTATAAAATTGGTGTTTTTCTTTCGTAAAAAATTTTGATGCATTGCACCTGCTGTTGGCGTGATTCCCTTTTTGCCAAGAACCTATATTTTTCCCTTTCATGCAAGGTCCAGGTACGTTTCTGTAAAAAAAAATTCGACATTTAACCGTATCTTTGCCATACTAATTCAGAATTGATGTTTTGTAATTTTACGGTCCAGATAGTAAAATTAAATGCAGATTATAATGTTGGAATGTTTCTTCGTCTGTATAAGCATGATGTAGGATCCAATCCTTAGTAGATTGATTTTGTGAAATCTATAAGAAACACATTAATTTATGGCAAGGAAACAGTTTCTTACTGTTGCTTTTGGTGACTCCTTCGGAGATTTTTAAGATCTAAATCTGTTAAGCTGCTTTAGAAAAACTTCCTAGTGAACTAGGCACAGACACGGGCACACGCAGGCACCGATCAACTGCGACGTACCGCTGTAAAATATGGAAATTTCTTCTCTATCGCGTGATTTATGGTATAACAGTCATAATATAAACAAAAGGCAATTGGATATTAAGTACTTATTAAGATAAGGTAAACCTTTCGTCTTGGTCGTCCAATTTAATAGACCGAAATCTTGGTATTCAACCAGATATAGCAGAGATCTCCTCCCTCCACAGCTGCTCGTGCAATAACTGTGAAATAACATTACTACAGATATATAAATCAACCTAACCTCGTTGACAACTTCTGTTTAGATGGTATTGTCTTGGCACGATTCCCTTTTGCCATTTTTACATATTTTAGCCCTTATGTTCAGAACAGTATTTACATTTCCATGCGTTTGTAATTTGGTGATTGACAAATTAAAATGTATCCTTGCAGTGCAATTGTTAAGTTATCGTTTCCTATGAATTACTTATTAGTCAAATTTAAATTGCAAATGTCTTACAATCGGTTTCAAGTTGAAATATCGTGCAATTAAGAGATGTTCTTAAGGTATTCAAAGTTTTCTCCTGGTTGTTTTTTGAAAAGTCCAATTGTGCCATAACAAAGCAGTGTTAGGAAAGTTGATCGTACTCTTAAGTGTTTCCTATAAATTGTGTATTAGTCAAATAAAATTGTATTTGCTCTTACAATTGAATTGAATAGAAAATATGTGATGATGCTCTCAATGTCTTTAAGGTGATGACAATATCGTTAAGCTTCTCAATTGTTTACAAAAGTTTTTAGATGCGTACAGGAACGTTCTACTGCGACGCATCGCTAAAAAGAAATACTAAAATGTTATCCCGTTGAATTACCCGCTGGTAGTTCTGATGTGATTTGAGGCCCATAACTTAAGTCTTTGATTCCCATTATTGATGCTGTAATGGTAGAAATTAGTGCAAGATATGATGGACCTAACCTCACCACTTCGTCGCCACATTTCAAAAGACATGGAGCGGATCTATCTGCCAAATTGGACGCATGCAATCTTTAACATCAATATAATTCGCAATATTGTGCAGTATCACTGAAAAATCTAAAAGAAAGCTCTAATTCGCTCATTTGTTCTCTAAATGAGTATAAAATATGTGTTTTGTATTTTCGTAATAAAGTGGGCTTAGTTGTTTTTCTCAATCCGGGACTAGTTTTCCCTCAACACATTCTCATAATACTTGGAAATTGTTGATCAGCTCTTATCATTGGACCACCGATACACACAGGAACCGTTCAACTGTTGTATCGCTGTAACAAAATCGTAAACAAAGGGGGAAAAGAAAAACTAAGAACAGAAGTAGAAAAGAAAGGAGATGGTTGTTTCGGCAGCCTCTAGCCAGCAAATAAGATTCAATTTCAACATTCAGGATTCTGTAAATTAACAAAAGTGTTTAAAGAGGAAATCCATTTGGCTTACGTCACGTTGATATAAGATAGGGCCACAATATTTACAACCCCCAGTATAAATAGATTAAGGAGAGTAGAACGACGATTTCGATTATCCGCTTGATATATAAAATTATTCCCCACGATGTTATCTTGTTTTGGATATTTGTATGTTGGTTTTAAATGCGAACAGGCACGTTCAACTATTTCGCATTGCTGAAATTTTAAAGCTAATTGTTCTTCGAAAATATTTGTAAATACCATTCGCAACCATATGGTTGGTTGTTTGCATATTTTTGTCCCTGCATTGTCCCACATATTCGTTTCTGGAAATTATGCTGTTTTGGTTAACGCACGAGTATGGCTTTCTATTGATGCCACGGCTGCAAACACACTTTGTTGCCCATTCTCTCAAGACGTCACCACCAATTTTTCAAAATCGATGTTGGGTGTAATAAGTGAGGAACAGCGCGTGCAACTGACAAACTACTGCAGTACATCACACCAGCACATACCGTCGCTTCCGCCACTTTCATATTCCGAATAGATCCTATATCCGAATTAGCACCCACAGCAATTTGTGTAGAATTTCTATGTTCTCATTCTCTTTGTTTTAGCTCACTCACTCTGTTGTTGGATCAAATACCTCCCGATTTTTCATCTTTTATCGCCAAAAAACGAACTGTAAAACAAAATATCATTTATGGTATTTTTAAGCTTCAAAAATAAATTTACACTACAAATTTTTTGTATTAATTGAAATACTTTTTTTTATTAATTTTTTCCAAATCAATTCTGTATAAATTTGTATAAAAAACTTTAAAGAAATATTCTTTACATCCTTACTTTTATCTAGAAACATCACAATTGATTCAATATGAATCAGACCAACTTTTCAGGTACACCTCATGTATTGATTGCACTATAGCAGTCAAACTACATCAACTCAAAGCAAATATGTAAAGCGTATAGTGTCATCTCTTTTGCTCACACTATTGTATTGTGAACTGTTATACAATTTATTGTCATCTCTTTTGCTCACCCTATTGTATTGTAAACTGTTATACATTTAAATTAGGTATTTGCATGTGTATAAGATAATTTCAGTTCGCATTTTGTTGAATTAATGTGTAATGCCAAGCATTCAAATCATGAAATAAAACCTGTACATAACATCAAAGGTGATTAAAATATCGCGAGTAAATTAGTCATTAGCGTACAGCATATGAAACACCACACGACACAGTCCGAAGTCTTATATATACACCTTTCGGCATGATTGCCGAAGTCTACTTCCGAAGTGAATAGAAAATCGACTGTTATATAAACAAAATGGCGATGGCTTTACAATTTTGCTTTGTGTTAAAATTAGCTACTCATATACAATAAACATCGCAATTTATTTAGTTTTGTTTAAATATTAGTTTTACGAACCGATTGAGTAATATCTGAGCTGATCATCTACACATCAGTTGTGCGTACGTAGCTCCCAAAACTCGGCTCGGATTCGCCCAGCCGTCTCGTTGGCTTTAGCTTTCTCTACCAGAAAATGGTGTCACATCAACTCACTCGGTTTTCATTTTCACATTTTGGAGCACTTTGTACGATGCTTCAATGACTGCAAATGAAAAACTTGCTTGATAAAACTATACTACAAATACACAATTGAGACATTTGCAGTTAAAACTATTAACTAACTACTGCAATACTTTGTAACACATTGCTATTATCACGTTTTACATTATATTTATTTATATATGCGGATTTAACGTTGCAATCTTTATTAGTACTGCTGCTCAACGATCGCATAAAGGAATCCAAGTCACTAAGCTCACTTTTCCACAAATTATCCACCTTTTTTTGACGTTCAGCTTCCTCCTCTTCAGACGCCTTGCCCTTTACATAACTGCTGATGGCGTAACTGCCATCTAGTTTCGTTTGGAACTCGGCCCAACGACGAAAACGTTCTCTCTGCTTGCGACGCAATTCAGCCTCCGCAGTCAAAAGAGCTGTATTCAACATCGCATTTACACGCAAATTGCCACGTAACTTTCTTTTCATTTCTGATCGTTTGATACGAAAATTACGGACCCAACCGCAGAGAGTTGTTGGATCTTGTTCAACAAAAACATTTTCACAAGCTGCAACCATTTTAAGACCAAATTTGCCAAAAAAAATTTTTGTTAGCACTTCGCAGTTGTTTACTCTTTCTTTGTTCAAATTTTTTATATATTTACAATGCACATATACACACACACCTTCAAACTTTGTTGGCCTTGACTTTGATGACTCGGCTCACTTCTGGTACATGTATATAAATCAGCTTTCACTTCCTTGTTTCAAAAGTACAGAATTTTCACAGCATATTCAGTATAACTTCTCGCCAACAACTGTGAAATTTCGTTCATTGCAGCCCGCTATTTATACTCTGACTCTGGCATGAACGATGCAATTCCTCCGCTTATACGCAAAAAGTAGTACCTATTATAGGGTGATTTTCACACGCTTTTTACCTACCCTGGAAACAAGGGTAAATTTAAACACAAAAAAATCTTAAGGGATGCATACTGTTGTACACCCAATGTAAGTCCGTTCTTTCCTGTTCCTGTAATTCATATATAAAATTTGCACCCGGAATTTATTTGTTAATTTCTTCAGATGGTGATCGATTCGTTATTTTATCGCTTTCTGGTCGTTTCCTAAAATTCGGAAAAATGTAACGAAAACATGGAAATGTTGCCAGACGAGCGTAATATCTGTATATATATATTTATTAATTAAAAATTTATAAATTAGATATTAGACATTTAACATAATGTGATAATATTGAAATTTTTTTATAAACGATACGTACAGTAAGCTTTGTTCACTCAAAATTTCACTATTACTATGTAACTAAGGACGTGCAAATGGGTTTGAAGTCAATCATCATAGGTACACATCCACTTAGTACATTTGTATAAGCAGGTAACATGTGTATGTACGTATGTATATATGTGTATATGGAATGCTACTAAGAATCATACTATACATACGTATATTTTTAATGTATACATTGAAATTCTTCAATTTGGACAGCCCTCATAACCGGACATCTCCCAAAACCGAAGATATTTCATTAATATTCCATAAAAAAAAAATAATACGTACATACTTATGGTATTGACTCTTTTGGACACCTCTGTTCAAAAGAGTTGAATTATTTATCATATTGGTAAATAGTTTTGTGGAGTTAAGTTGACTGGAGAATCCGCAAAATGGCACCAAAAAAAAAAGTTCTGTCCATTAAAGATAAAATGGAAATTATTAATGTGGTCGAGAGAGAAAAATTAAGTGTGCGTGAAATTGCTAAAAGGTAAAGTTTTCATTTTCTAAAAAATTCAATTGTTTTCAGATTATTTATATTTGAAGGTTTGATATTGGCAAATCACAAGCTGCAGAAATTAAAAAAAATAAAGAAACCATTCGTTCTAAATGGGAGTCTGGAGTTAATGTTCTTCAAAAGAGAAGTTTTAAAAAAGAAGGAGGATCTGAGATTGACAAAATTTGTTTTGATTGGTTTACTAAGGCTAAAAGTCAAAGCATTCCTGTTTCTGGTCCGATTGTAAAGCAAAAGGCTAAGGAAGTGGCACATAAGTTGGGTGTATCAAATTTTGTTGCATCAGATGGATGGTTAAATAAATGGCGCATAAGGAATAATGTTGCTTTTAAGAGTATATCTGGTAAAGCTTCAAATGTAAACCCGATCGATGTGGAACAATTCAAGGAAAAGCTGCCATCTCTGTTGCGCGACTACAAGCCAGAAGACATTTACAATGCAGACGAAAGCGGATTATTCTTTCGCGCATTACCTGACAAAACTATCGCTCTGAAGTCCGAAAAATGTATTGGCGGTAAGTTATGTAAGGAGAGGCTAACAATACTATTTTGTACGAACATGGCTGGACAAAAGGAGCTGCTTTTGGTCATAGGAAAAGCCGCCATTCCTCGAGCATTTAAACATCTTTCTTTAAATGAGCTTCCAGTGGATTGGAAATCTAACAAAACAGCATGGATGACTCGTGAAATCATGACTGCATGGCTAACACAGCTAAATAGGAAAATGCGATTTCAAAATCGCAATATTATTTTATTCTTGGATAATGCAGCATCACATCAAATTCAAATAAGCTTTACAAACATTAAATTAATTTTCTTGCCGCCAATTACAACCGCAGCTTGTCAACCTCTTGATCAAGGCATAATACAAAATTTTAAAGTTTTTTATAGAAGCTCAATATTGCAACACTTGCTACCAAAAATTGATTCAGCGGTTTCGGCATCAGAGTTGGCAAAATCGATTAATATTCTTGAAGCTTTATACTTTATTAAAACTTCGTGGGATAAAGTTAAAGCCACAACCTTCAAAAACTGCTTTCTTAAAGCTGGTTTCCCAGAAACCAATCAATGTGTTTCCGATTTTGATATCGGCAATGATATATGTCTGAGCACCTATAGAAGTTTCAAAAATGGATTGCCTGTATTAAATAATTTTGATGATTTCCTTAAAACTAATGAAGTGGTCTTTACTGAAGACAATTCCATTGAAATACAAGTTGAATCAGAACTTGCAGATATAAGAGAGTCCGATGACGAAGTTATTGAAGAAATTGCTGAGCCAATAGGATCGTATAAAGACGCATTGGAGCATCTTGCTTTATTGAAACATTTTGCAAGAGAGGACTTTAAAGGCTTCAATCTCTTGAAGAATGTAGAGACTCATTTTGAAGCTCAACACTTTAAGCTAAACCAATCAAAGCTTAAACAGTCGCCTATAATTAAATTTTTTCAACCAAATTTAACTGATAACTATAATTAAATGTAAACTTGTACTCAAATTATACATACGAACATAAGTAACATATATGAATGTGTATTATATTACATTGTATGTACATTGTATTGTAGTTCGAGTATATATTTGTCATTTCTAAATATACATCTACTATTTTGTGAAGCATAAAATATACAATAAATTACAACTTTTGTTAATTTTTGGTACTCTAAGAATATATTTTCAACGTAAGTTTTTGTCATGCGCCCATATATGGATAGCTCCCATAGCTGGACAAAAATACTTCTTCCGTGGATGTCCGGTTATGAGGAATTTCACAGAAGTGCAATTATGTTGTTAAAAAATTAAAGTCTCAATTTATTATACTTGTATGAATAAAATATATAATATACATAAATATTTACTTCATACATTGTATATCCGAGATGTGTGTGTATACCCCGCATATCATAACTTATGGTATTGATATAAGCTAAAAGAAAAGTTTAAAAAAGTATAGCCTTATTTCGAAAACAAGTGCCATTTTCCAAATAAAATTATATTTTTTATTAGTAAAATATATGTACTTCTATTATCTTTCTATTGCAGTTTTTACGGAATAAAAAGTTAGTAAATAATTAACGCTTATTTCACTACAGAAATAAAACCACATATAATTATTAATATTTTTACTCGGCTTCCTTAATTATAAGAGCATATTTCTATGTACATATGTGTATGTGTAACTTTCCAAAATGCTATGCATTTTTAAGAATATTCGCAAACATTTAATTTTAGTTTAGAGTAAGGGATATTACGCTCAAGGTCGACCGTGTTAAGCGTGAGAACATTTAAAAGGAATGGCTTTCAAGATGCACGAATAACATCCCTTCATTGTTGGTATGTTTGCCTTTTTTGCAGGTAAATGCCAAGTATTGTGCCATATACATACGTAAGTGTACATACATATACTTATGTGTGTATCTATGTCTGTGTTCTACTGGTTTCTTCCCTTTTGCCAAGACAACGATTTTAACAGCTGTTAGACGACAGCACGTCAATTCACAAGACACAAACGTATGCGAACGAATGGCATGTGTAAACATACATACATACATATATACCAATATAATGTTGCACTTAAATATATTTTATACCAAAACCTTATACCACAACTGCTGCATATTACCTACTCCAAATTATCGAATGTAAATGCATTTTGTTATATATTGTACATTTGTGCATGCTTATGTGTATATGTATGTGTTTTCTTTTGTATTTGAATATTCATATATGCAGATGCACATGGGTCCACATAAATCTGTAAAAACGTGTCATGGATGTACATACATACATATATATATTTCCATACTGCCTGAATGAATTTCTCGCTCACGATGACCGCTTTTCTGCGATTCTGTTTCGACTTACCGTCTATTTGTTGTTTGGTCTCCCGCGTATTCGACATCCTTTGGTATTCCAGTCTAACCGCTTGAATTCCCGAATATGCTTCTGCTCCCCACACAAACTTTGTCGCATCACCAAATCCAAAACCAAGTTAATTAATAACGGCGATGGTACGCACTGCTGTTCACCATCAGTCTGAATTTGTATGCCGTTACTTATAATGTTTTCATCCCTTACACGACAGCTAGCACCTGAGATATGCTTACAAGCTATTTTACTAATCGAAGGAACTATTACTCTGTAGCGAATCAATATCGATAATAGAAAATTTGAACAAAACGTTGTTTTTTCGTAGTTAAATATTTTTTCCGTTGGAATGAAAAACTGACGACAGAGTGTTGCTATCGTTGACTGTTAGAATGTCTCCGATCTGTCGTCCGAACGATTTTCTTATCTTTTAAAACACATATGTACATATGTTGTTGTGTCATCATTCGACGCCTAGAGAACAATAAAAGTTATATTATTGATCTAAAAGGCAAAATAGTCCTTGGCCTAACAAATTGACATGTCATTTGATTTTATCCGGACTGGTCCTTTAAAATTGCGCGCTCAAACCGAAAAACATTTTCATTCCTAGATTGGTACAACCTTTTTTATGTTCGTGTGAAATTTGATCGCCATATGGAAATTAGTGTGTGATTGGTAGCTATTTGTTTACGATGCGAAAGGATTGTCTGGCAATTTTTACCATAAAAAAAAATTTAAGAACGAGTTTACTTGAAATTTTGTGTTTCCAATTTCGACTGACGTGAGATTACGAATATGACGTGGAAACTGTCCGATAATCAAGCGAGTGGCCGCCAAAAAATGAGCCGAATCCGAAGAAACTAAAATTCGGTGAGGTACTAAAGGCCATCCTAGCCGAGGATTATATCAAGTATATGGAAAATCGGATTAAGCATAAGCATGCTTGTATTGGCACAGTGGGCTATTTTGTAGGAATAAAGATTTGTATTAAAATACCAGAAAATGTATTTTTTGTCAATCCGGATCGAATTTGATCAGATGGTAGTTATGTTTATTGGTGATTTTATCGTGTTCGAGATAGGTGATGAAAATAGTTCCATTAGATTCCCAAAAACTACTGACTAAAGCCTTGCCGGCCGACATAGAAACATAAATAGCAGAGTTAGCGCCACCTTAAGCCCAATAACTTGAGAATAATTGGATAAAATGTCATGAAACTTTGGCAGTATTCTAGCCGAGGCAAGGACCACAATCTCTTAAATATTTTTCAACCCACATTCTACAATATGTCAGAACTTTATTTAATGTTTACATATTCTAAAGAACCCAACCGAATGAGTGTAGGCCTGTTGAAATTCTCCGGCATTATTGTTTATTTTTCCAGCCAGTCTGTGGGCCAAACTTTGCGGCAGGCGATCTCCAACGAGCACATTTGGTTCATGTAAGTACGTACAAATGTATGTAGTTGAGTGTGTATTTGAATATGAAAATTGGAAGTGGTTTCTGAGTGGCTAAGTATGCAACAACAGAAGATCGCCAACCGAAATTGTGGCTAAAAGTGTAAACACTCAGTTCTTCTTAGCACTTTGGTGCGAACGGTTTGCGTTGAATTTGAAATATCGGAAAAGTCTTACGCTGGTTTCATATCGAATAGCAATCAATGAAAACGTCATAATGTTTACATTCTAAATATACGGATTTAAAAATCAACACCCCGTTATTGTTAGTGATATGAAAAGAATTGCACAAAGAGAACAGATTTTTTTATTTACATATATGAACATATGCACACACACATACAAACCCACATATACGATCAATTACATTGTGATGCCTTTGGATTAGTTTAATTGATATGCAAACACATAAATTATAACAGAATCGATCAATGAATGTTAAAAAATAAGAACAAAATTATATAATTTAAATGTATTATAATATATGAACATATATGTATGTGTTTGAGCGTTCGTGTGCTCACAACTGGAGTGCTAGTTGCTGGATTGCGTCTATTTGTGGCGGAATGAGTTAATGACAATATGGCATTGATTGCTGCTTCATGCCAAGTGCTTTTTATATGAATCACAGTGCTTTCATTTGAATCATTTAACAGTTGTGGCCCAAATCTTTTACTTTCATTCGCTAACTTCTCAAGTGTCTACCCGACCCAGTGAGCTATTTGCAAAACCTAACGGAAGTGTTCCAACGCCAGTGATCATGGAAAATGTTCGCTTTTCGATTATTGTAAGGATTAATAAAGACTTCCCCGTATACATAAAAAATTTTCGAACAGATGTTTCTTAAATAATCAATGTCTGAACCGGAACTGATTTCAGGAGAACGATCTCAAATGGAATTCGGAGAGTCATGAAACGCACGATTTCTTTTTCGACAAGCGCAGCATCTCCAGCGAGAATAGCAGCAACAGTGATGCCGTATTCAGCGATGAAGCGCATGAGATCTTCCTGTGGCAGCAGCAGCATCAGATGATCTGGGACCAGCTTGAGATCGAGGAGACACTAAGTCTAGTACCAAATTCGCTTGCCATATTCGAAATGGTTAAAACGAATTGCTTTATAGGTCAGATACCGACGACCTCTCGCACTCAATGAAAAGTTTCTTATTTTATTTTTTCTTCACCATTAACCAGCACTTACTCCAGCCACTAACGATGCTAATTTAGCGATACTATATTCCTCGATCTATGGTTGTACAGAGAATATTATACTCTTGCTCGATCACTATGGCGCCGATCCCAATTGTAAGGACTTAAGAGGTCGGACGCCATTGCATTTTGCCTGTTGTCGTGGAAATGCGCATATCGCCAAGGTTTTGTTGGACCGTGGTGCTGATCCTAATCGTTTTGATGGTAAAAAGGAGGTTACACCTTTACACTGTGCTGCCAGGTGAGTCAGCGCACATTTATCGAGGTGTTGTCAGTACATCGACAATTCGGCGCGCTGCGTTTTATTCACACATCATATATGTACATATTTATGTGGATATGTCATTAGCATATGAACAAATTCTTAATTAGACCAAATATTTTTTGACGCCAATAGAAAAGAAAATATTATTTATTTATATTATAAAATTTTCGCTTCATTCCTGGCCTTGTGGCGGTTGTATGCGCGCCAATTCAAACGCAACCACGATCATGATCATGAACAACTTGCCCCTTCCTTTCTGCCCGGCTCCATGCGCCGGCATATAAATTGCGTTGAACCGTCACGGCATGGATAGTGCAAAGAGCGTGGAATGCATTTTGCTGCTACTGAAACGGAAAGCGCACATCAACATTGCCATTGAGAAACGTTCGGCACTGCATTTCGCTATCGATCGCAACGCTGTCGAATGTGTGGAGACGTTGCTCAAATATGGCGCAGATCCCAACACCCCACAGGTAGGCGACATTTGCGTCACATTCTTTTCTAGTTCCTATTTCTTACCCCTACTAAACACATTCCTTCCCCTCTTTTAAGCAAAGAACTTTTGAACCCTTAAATATGTCTCTATGCCATAGGTTTACACAGAAACGCCGCTGCATACCGCTTGCGCATTAGGCTTCAGTAAATGTGTGGAACTGCTATTGAATCATAGCGCTGATGTGCGTTCCCAGTTTGGTGAAGGGAAACTGACAGCCTTGCACTTGGGTATGTTATACGATTAGCAGCTGTGAATTTTCACTGTCAATTCACACCTGTTCTTCGTTTCGTTCAACCGCAGCCGCTGAGAACGATTACGTCGAATGTGTACGTTTGCTACTGGAGCACGGTGCGGATGTGGATTGTCGTAATGCCAGCCATCAGACCCCACTGCATTTGGCCTGTCTATCGCAGTCCATAGAAACTGTCGATTTACTGATCAAGTATGGCGCCAATGTGAATGCTGTCTACAGGGACGGTCGAACCGCTTTGCATGCTGCAATCGTCAAACAATCTCGTAGTTTGGACTGTTGTAATGCTTTATTGAAAGCGGGTGCCAATGTCAACAAAGCGGATAATTTTGGTTATACGCCTCTGCATATAGCGGCCTTGAATGAGTTTAGTAATTGTGTATATACTTTCATCGGTAAGTGGTTCTGGATATATGGATGATGTTTAAATTTCAGTTTACAACTGTCAATGACCTGCTACGAGAAGAAGTAAAAGTAAGACAATGTACTCTTCGAATGAATTTCGCTATAAAGAACTGCCGAATCGAAAATCTGCCCGAGAAATTTGCGTTAAAGGGGCATATAACATGCTTTCTAGACATCTTTCATTTTGTGCTCTATTTTCAGCCAAAATATAGGGTCAAAAACATATATGAAATTCCTAAAGCATCGGAGGCTGTATGTAAGCCGCTTGCGTGACTACAAACTTTTGTGTCTGTGTTTAATTCAAATTTAATTTTTACATTCACAATTCTTCAAATAGGATAGTGAATTTATCGATTTTTTAAGGCCCTTTTTCAACACATCTAAACGATTTGTAAGCCTACTTTCTAAACTTACAGAACATGGCGCGGATATAACGGCTCGCACCATGGGCAATGTATCCGCTTTGTCTTTCATCGTGCGACGTACACCTGAAATTATACCGAAACTAACGGCCAAAATGGATAGTTCAATTAAGGTAAATGATCACGAAATCGGTGACGTAGACTGTGAAATCAAATTGGATTTTCGTCTGTTGGTGCCACCAACATCATTGGAACGTGGAGAGACTGAATTGCTTCTGTCGTTAATCGAAGTCGGCCAGAAGCGTTTATTGATGCATCCATTGTGTGAGACTTTTCTTTTTCTAAAATGGCGCCGCATACGAAAATTCTTTCTGATGAGTCTACTTTATCATGCAATCTATGTCTTCCTATTCACAATGTACATCGTGGGTGTATATGCACGCAACTGTGATAAGAATCCGAAGTGCGAAGCGCCCGCATATATAAGCACAGTGGGCTATTTCGTTATAATACTGAATTTAATATTGATGGGTAAAGAGATTTTTCAGGTAATTAATCCTGTTTATGTAGTATACTAATGTATACTTAAGCGTGAAATATTAACTTTTAACGCTTGATTGTAGATGGCTCACGGCTTGCAAGGCTATGCGAAGTACTGGGAAAATTGGCTCCAATGGGCCATCGTTTTCGGTGTTTTGCTATGTGTGGTACATAAGTCTTCATGACAGATATGTTTTTGAGTTTGTTGTGTAATCGTGCTTACTTTTAGACACCAGAGATTCTGGTACCTACAAATTTGTTGGCGGTGCCTACATGGCAACATCACGTGGCGGCTATTGTAGTGCTTTTAGTTTGGCTGGAGCTAATGATGTTAGTAGGACGCTTCCCCATATTCGGCGTTTATGTGCAAATGTTCACAAAAGGTAAGAGGAAAGGAGTAAAAAAGGCTTACTTCGAAGTCCAACTGTAGAGTGTTAGTGCTCTTGTACATTTGAGATTTAATCATGTTTTTATGTAAACATCTAGTATACTTTCTTTCTCAAATAATATTCAAGCACCTAACGGTATTTCATAATCTATTTCAGTTGCCGGTAACTTTTGCAAATTCCTTTTGGCTTACATCTGTTTACTGATTGCCTTCTGTCTCAGTTTCTCAGTGCTATTCAACGACTATCCACCATTTGAAAATATCACATGGTAAATAACAATAATAATGTTGATTGAGAATTAAATAATTTATTAATATTTTGTGTTGCTAAGGTCCTTACTCAAAGCAATCACAATGATGTCCGGTGAACTGGAATTTGAGGATATATTTTATGGTGATATACCTGTTAAATTTCCAGTTACCTCACATATTTTGTTTCTCTGCTTTGTACTACTCGTCACTGTCATACTCACTAACCTTATGGTGGGTTTGGCTGTCAGCGATATTCAGGGTCTACAAGTATCAGCCACCCTAGATCGGTTGGTGCGTCAGGCAGAGCTAATTTCACGACTAGAAAGCTTATTCTTCTCACGCTTACTCCGCCGCGCACCGGTGAAATTAATGCAACTTTGCAAGCGTAGCGCGCTACTACGCACTTCACGCAACAAATTACAGTTCGTGACTCGGCCAAATGATCCGCGTGACAATCAGTTACCCGAGGACATCAAGTTGAATATATACAAACTGGTGGCTGAGCGACGCGATCGCAATTTGAGTTTACGTCGGCGAAAACTCGAAAGTAACTACAATATGTTTAATCAGAGCTTACAGCGACAGTATGAGGAAAAAAAGCGTTGCACTGCCATACCAGTTGGGTCAACGACTGATAAAACATCAATAAATTCCGTAGCGAAGATCAATAATGTTAATAACAAAAAATCAAGTAATGATTTAAAGGAACCGCATGTTATGATTACGTTACGCGAAAACGACTGCTTGTTACGACCGCGTTCGGCTACCAATGTGCACGATCAGTTAATGGCCGAAAGCGATGTGGCCGTAAAGCTTAAGAGCCAGGTCAACGGCATTTCAGATGTGCGCGCCGAAGTGATGGCGCTGCGCGAGCAATTACGTGGGATCGGCCAAAAATTGGACAGTTTTGCGGACAGTGCAAGCAAGAAAATAAATTTCACGGCTGAAGAAATATGTCGAATAAAAATTCATCTCGAACAGAAAGCATCTTTTCAGTGTTGATCCACATGTTTGAAGATTCTGGTTTTGCGAAATAATCAATAAAAAGTGCTTTAATATATTTTTCATAACACTATAACTATTTTTGTAAGCGAAAGTGGAAATTTAATTTGAACCAAATAAACTGTGTTAAATGTCTATATAGTACTTACGAATCGAATTATAAAGTGCATTAATTGTTTTTGTTTTTCTAATAAAAAAAATTTACAATAATAAAAATATTAACAAATACAAATACATGTTTTTGTATACGAAGTGGTGACATTAACACATATTGGCACCAGTCCACATTTGCATATGACCTTATAAATAAAAACAATTGTATTTGTTTCGACAATTACTTTTAATTATACATAAATGTCGGTGGCTTAATTAGACGCGCCTGGCTATTTCGGTCAGCCATCTGTCGTTACTTTGGTTCCATATGAGCGTGCCTTCCGATGGTATGGGAGCGTCCTTCTTCACGAGAGTCCATGTTTTGGTGATCGGGTCAAAAGCGAAATTCTTCGAGTTTGCTGGAGTCGGCGGTGGAGTGTTTATTATCAGTGGTTTTCGTGTGACTGGCACAAAAGTGGGCTTAGGACCAACCTGGGCGCCACCGCTTATCAATTCATACTCGGCGTTGGGATCGTTAGCGGGTCGGGGCAAAGCAGCAACAAGTGTCGCACAGCTAACTATTATTATGGCTGATCTCATTTGAAATATATATAAAAAAGGAAAAATTTGTTAGAATTAAACCATCGGCACTTTTGTTATTTACTAGATTTAGTACAATATTTATTTGTGCGCAACTTTACAGCCAAAACATACCAAGCGCGAAAGTATTCTTTAAGGTTTTCATGTTTTCAATTTCCCCAGAAAATATGTTGATCTTTCAGTTGAATATCTTAATTGGCACACTTTTTATAGATTTAGTTTTAGTTGTTTTTACATTAACCTATTTAATTATTTGTGTAGTGCTTTCGTGTTAATAGCGTCTTTTCTCTCCAAATGTCGATTCTCTACTGATCTTTCAAATCTACTGAGTTGCATAAAATTATAATTCTTTTGCAGATACTCGCTTGTAAATACACATTTATAAATATGTACATATGTCTGTATATTTATTTGTAGATTTATATGCTTGCCTATTGATCTTATTTACACTCATTAAGATGTGATGTTATGAGCTCTGAGTTAACCTTTTTGATTGCTTATGTCAAGAGCGCTCAAAACAATAAATATCCAATTCCAAAATATGAGCAATTTGAGCTGATCTTACAATATGTTACAATTATATCTGTGCAGAAAGTTTATTAGTATGGGTCATTAAAACTGAATGAAAATTACCGAGAACGAATAAAAGCTTCGCCCTGGGACAAAATAGTCATGCTACAGCCAGCCACTAACTGAGCCCACGTCGACTAATAAACTTTCATAAAACGCTTTTTCATTTCTCACGCTTAAACTTTCTTAGAAGTAACTATTTATTCAGGATAATGATGCTTATCTATCCCAGATCTATCAAAGTTTATTCTACAAAACTATAACATTCGTAGAGGTAAGATTGAGAATTATTTCCGTTTGATACATTTTTCTCCATAAAAGTTATTAAAATCTTTATTTTTTTAATTTAAGAAGACTAATTTAACTTCACTTTACAAATTAAAAAAATAATAAGCATCAAAGTGTTCTCTTAAATCGTACATAAAAACATGTATATATTGAAATTCTCCCGCATGTTATAATACCGGTACTATAATTTATTTTTGTCCAAACAATGCTATAATATTTAATTTACTTTCAGAATGTCGCTGTGCAACGCATAAAAAGCGCAGACGTGCTGATGCATACCACCACTTTTTGCGACCAACGAGAGTACAGCATGTTTTATGTTTATTGTCCTGGTAATGATAATTTGGGATTGAAGCTATATTTATTTATGCAAGATGAAATTAAATTTTGTGAAAACCTCCATTTCTGAGCAGTGGGAGGATCGAAAGGAAATTATGAATTTTAAAAATTGTACGCGCATTTTTATCTAAAGCCAATTTTGTTTTTCTCTTAATTTTCAGACGGCTATTATACAGCGATGTTAAAAACTTCAACTAAAGTCTGTGTAAAAATTAAATTTATTTCATCGGCAGTAAGTTCGTTATTTTGTGAGGTCAAACGATATCAAATTAGTTCAAGAAATTTTTTAAATTTTTAAGGAAAGAGAAGGATACATTACATTTTTCAAAAAATCTATCTGCTGAGCTCATACGTTTGGAGGAACCATGGAAGTGAATAAAAACTGCAAGAGTAAAGTACAAAAATTAAGGTAATTTGTTGGACAAGAAAATCGATAAAAAAATTTGTTATTATTGTTAATGTCGAAAAGTTTATACTTAAATTGTACATAATCGGGTCTACGTAACCGGAACGGACCCGGATTTTTATCCGGTCAAGGACTGTCAACTCGGCAGTATTCTTGCCATCTTCAACAACTACAATAACCTTGAGCAAAAACTTCGCGTTATATCACACAATTAGCGAAAGCTAAAATGACGTGTTGCTTTGCAATTTTAATTCATTAACTCTTAGAGAAAGTGTTTTTTTATTTTTTATTATTTTCTCGACATATTTTCAGTAATACACTTTCTTTCTTTTTTTTTTATCAAACGACTTCGCTTTTCTTGCCGCCGACAGTACAACTTTCGAAATATTTTTTAAAACAGATTTTTTATAAACAAATAATTACAAATGAAATTAGACTATTTTAATAAATATCCCTAGTAATTCCAATAATTATAACAGTGATGTTATATGTATATGCTACGCAATTTCACCTTCCGGTATCGGCAGGCAAAGTGATTCTTTGTGCTTCTTCTCATTTTTCAATTGTTCTCAGCAAATGGATCACGTAACAGTCCAAATGTACACTCAAATACCCCTACGCAATTCTGCTGTGTGCAGTTTACCACATGCACATTCATTCGTCTTTGAACGCCAGCATGTGTGAGATTCGGATCGAAGTAGAAACCAAACTGTTCTTTTAATGGTATATGTATAGTTTAGGTCCCCCAACGAAGGAGGCTGCGAAAATTATAATTTTTTTTAAATCGACTTATTTTGACAAGCATCATGTCATCCTTGATTTTGATGCGAAGATTACAAATCCGTGAGCGGAAAGTCGATTTTTTCAATAATTCTACTTTGTGTCCATAGTTCTTTTGCGTGCTAAAAGGAGTTCGATATAAAAGAACTATTGAAATCCCTGTGTGCGACAGACAGATAATTTTTTTTGAAGTGTGGTCGAAGATCGCTAGTGCGAAAAGGAGATCGACGATCTCCTATTTTCGTCCATACCAGCAGATCGCTGCGTAAAAGAAATTGTGACTGTTACATTTCTTCAGTGTTTTTTTCACAAGAATATGTCCAACTCCAGCTACAGCTAAGTTACAGACATAGATTATCCATGGTTACAGAATTCTGCACCTGCAACAACAATAACTAAGTTGAAAAATATGAGCAAAGTGTGTTAAATATACTTTTATACATAAGCTATTGCAAAAACTCACTTTCCGCTCAAGGATTTGTAATCTTCGCGCCAAAATAGCAAGCAAGATAGATAAAATGATCCGAAACTCCTCTCTTTGCTTTCTGAGAGAGCTCATGAACTTTCAGTGCTGCCAAGAAAAACCACGAGTTCATGAGCTACTGAACAGATGACAATCAAAACAATGAACTACACTAAAAATCCCGCAGAAATAAAATGCGAAATCAGTGGGTAATTTGTGAGATCAGATTTTTTGGTGACTTTTACGTATATTTCTAATCTTTATTTAAAGAGTTTTAATATAGCTTTGATTTTAAGAAAGAGCGTGTATTTTGTCGCAGAGTATTGTTTTGCTTAGCAGTACCAATAGTCAACGTATATACACATTTTGGCTAGAATTCCCAGCAAATGTTATGTAAACTTTGACTTCCGAATAAATTATCGAAAGATATTTGTTTATTCAGTATATAAAAACTAAGTAATGTTCATGTTTAACTTATTTAAAACTTGAAAATGTTTTGAAATATTAAAATATTTTATTAATATTAGTTTTAAAAGTAAATTTAGAAAATCTTTTTTGATTAAAATATACACTTACATATATTTAGAAGTCATATAGGATAGATAGCTTGTTAAACTAATTTTAATTACGTATATTTTTCTGTAAAATGGAAACCGAAAAATACCCAAGAAATACATTAAAAAATCTCAAAACGTATTTCTTTCCACAGTGGCACCACTGTCAAATGTTATAAAAAATGTGGACTTTTACAGCGCTCTCTCGAATCAAAGAGTTTCGGTCATTTTATTCGTTTATAGAAAATATATAAGCAAATGGATCAGCTGTTTGCTGCCTAAGCAGGGTTGCATGGAATATATTAAAAATATTATGCACCACAATGTTAGATGAGTGATTTTTTTCGTACATCATAACAACTACTGTAAGTTAAAATTAAAATAAACTCCAAATAATATTAATGTAAAAATGTTAACAATAAAAATGTAACTAAAGTTTTTTAAACAACGGGTATAATTAACCTCACAAACATAGCCATATTCTTCATCACTATCGGAGGTGTCATTTGATCGTTTGACAATTGTTATTGTCAATTTAATTGAAGCAGTATTCAATTTAGTTTGTGCAACTTTCAGTTGAGAAAATATATTTTTATTGAGATCATCATTGTGCAATAAATAAATTTGAACAAATCAAAATGCGTTTAGTTGAGAAAAATGAGGAACGAGCTTTTATCATTGATTGTCTTAAAGTATACAAATCTCTTCCAGCCTTATGGAACGCCAAATCACCGGAATATCGCAAGAAAGATAAAAAGAATGAAGCGTATGAGATTTTAATTCGTAAGTTTCGAGAGAAATATGCAAACATAAATCGGAAGGATGTGACCAAAAAAATTAATACGCTGCGAACAAATTTTCGAAAAGAAGTAAAACGCCTTTCACAAGAAAGACGGGATGTGTCCAAATTATGGTACTTTGACGAAATGAAATTTCTAATAGATCATATAGAAACAAAAGAAGAGGTAAGCTACCAACAATATATGCACAAAATAAAACTACATTTGCGTATATATATTTGAATAGAATTTTCAAATCATGTACGAGGACGGAGAGCCGTTAAATATAGAAATTATTGATGAGTCTTCCTCTACACTTCCTGACAAAAGTATTAAACTTAATAAAAGTGAATATGTAATGCAGTCGAGCGCTGTGAACAACTCAAACCCTGGATCATTAGGCGAATATGAACTTAAGTTGGCCGAAACTTGGGCTATGGAACTACAAAAGATGACGCCCGAACAACAGATTTACGCTAAGAAAGCCATTAATGATATAATTTATGAAGGACAACTAGGAAATCTATACCGAGATTGTGTGCAAATTTACCCGCCATAAATAAGACGCGAAAAACTTGTTTAACCTTGAGTTGTATTCAATAGTTCGTAATGCTAAAGTTAAAACTCTAAAATATAGATGTAAATTTTCTACCACGCGTCATTTCATTCCGGTATATCGCCGCCGGGCACTAACTATAAAAGAAAACATGTAATATAAATATAGAAATAAAAGCAGCAATCCTTAAATCATTTACCATTGTTATGTTGTTGCCATTAAGCAGGATTTGGTCGAGTTTAGTTATACGCCTGCCTTCTGCCGTGTTCTCGTATTCTGTCACATCATCCAACAACATATTTACAAAATCATCGAATCCCAACAATGTACCAACCATCTCTTTATCGTTCTTCATTATAATGTGAATCCGAGATCCAATACATTTGTCCACAAGTTCTGTGCAAGCAGTAAACAATAATTGTGGATGCTAGAATTTGTTAAACGCGATGTAGGATACTTACCAAGTGGTAATAAAGTTGACACATTTGAAGGTGGTGGTACGGCAGTCATATTTCACTTGTTTTATTTATTAAATAAATTTTACAAGATTTCTAATAAAAACTTTGAAAGAAAAAATAAAACGCGATTTTCATCTACCAGCTGTAACAACTGTCATATTTCATGCCGCTTGCGTAGGGTTGTCTACTACCATTCCGACATTTAAAGTTTTTTGTTTACAAAGAGAGTAATCGGTTAACGATTAGATTATAAAATATCAATTTAATAGATATTTGATCATAATAAAAATTTTAAATTTTCAGTGTAAAATTTAAATGTTATAAATATTTCCTAGATTTCTTAACTTATTATGGAGAATTACTTTTACAAAGAAGTCTATGAATATGTTTGAGTTTAAGCTTAGCTATATATAATAACAAAATAATAAAAAGGAAATATGCCAATGATAATTTATTAATTGATTCAATTTTTTTGTTCTATATTCAAATAATTATTTGATAAATCCCTTCAACATACCATAAACAGCTGCTTATCGATAGCTTTGTTTATTGTCCTCTCTCCGATACCTAACGCCTGCGCATAGGCTAACAATTTCCAATTGCAACATGTGCGCCATCAAATCAGTTGTTCAAATGTACTGCAGTCAATATACAAAAATTCATACAGACATAATATTTAAATGCTTATAGATATATGTATATGCGTGTATATAGTACCGTTATAGTTGGGAGTATTTCCGCTCCTCACTGTTGTGCAGCATTAATGATGTGAAAATACATGTAGTAATAACTAAATGTTGAGGTGGTTGCTTTAAATAAAACATAATATGATATGAACTCAACGACAAACATATGTACATATGTATGTTTTAACCAGTATTGTATTGTAGGTGGCATTTGGGCATGACATTACCAATTTTGCCTTTTTGTGGTTAAAGGTACCACAGTATAGCCTATGACTTCGGCCTGCGCAGAACAACGAGCGGAAAGTGCGATAAAAATTGTGTTAAATTAAGAAAAAATCTATAAGCATTTTCAATAACATCGGAAATATTTATTAAAAAGCTAAAAAATCTATAGCGAAAAACTTGTAAAAAGGGGAAGCCGGAAAATATTAACATTTGCATATTGAATGAGTAAACCCAGTGGAGCGTGAGAAGTTTTTATTTCTCGTCGCTGTTGCTTGACTTGTGTATTTTTGTGCGTTTGTGCGGGCAGATACAAACATAAATATGTATATGCATATATGCATATACAATTAAAATCTTCAATACCAATTATATAACATTAGTGACGCGAATTAAATAAAGTACATAAAAAATATCCGAAATATAGGTGAAGAAATCCAAATCTGTTTTACCATAAGAGCAAGTACTAATCAATAGCATATCCCCATACATATATATTGTGTATCCAAGAATATATGCAACTAAGTTAATCCGGCGATTTATATTTCATAGTTTGGCCACAGTCAAAGTCTTATATACAAAAAGTAAATAAATATGTAGCGGTTATATAGTGAATAAAAGTGCAATTGCCAAATTTTAACTCATTTAGAATAAAGGAAATAATTAATAATTGAATGCGAGTATGGCCACGGTCAATGCAAATACTATCAGTACCAGTTGCCAAAGCATCGTCTCGGCTGGCGGCCCGAGCGCTGGCAGTTTGGGTACGATTGTTATTGGCGGCGAGACACCGGCCCAGCAACGTTCCACAACCCACTATGTTAACGGTACTGGCAGTTTGGGCCGCCTCAAGTATCACAATAAGCACAAGAGTTTGGATGCCAGTGATGAGGAGCTCGACTATTCACAGGTTTGTGTGCTAACAGCTCATATTGTATTGTATTGCAAATATACTTGTATATATTACTTATTTACGCATATATTTGGTGTTCTAGTGCTAGTGTTTAACCCATCTTGCAATGCTCCTATTAATATTAATAGTAATTTAATTAATTGTTATTGGAAATTATTTTGCACCCAACTGAGCAACAAATATTTTAATTATCATTGCAATCGTTTAATACCGACATTTTTATTTTAGTATTAGTGGTTACTAATTAAAGGATAACTGGTGAAAACGTTTACTATTTTTCTATTATGAGGTCAAGAGTTTAGGTTAAGTAGAGTGGAAAATTGGAACTGTTAACATCATTATTAGTATATACTTGTATGTTAGTTTTAGGCATTTTTTTTATATAATATTCTAAATGCATACATAATAACTTTCGATACTTTTCCATATTGACCATAATGAATTTAAGTCATGAAGCCAAAAACCATGTTGCCATTAAAAGTAAAAAGCTATGCACATGAAAAGATTTTTCAGTTGAATGGCTTTTCACTAGGGTTGTTCAGTATATGGTATTCAGTTTATTTTTGTAGTTGTAAATTTGTGATACCCTGCTGTTTTGAAAGCAGCCCTGTTGGTAAATTAAAACTGCCTCTTCAGTTATAAAATAATTCTTATTTTGTGGCAGTAGTAAATGAAGTAGAAAATTGTTCTTACTCTTACTCAGCTAAAAATAATATATTGTCTTGGAAACTAGTAGCGAGATTATGTTAATTTTACTATAAAAATATTTTATACATTTAATAATAACTGATGAGTAAATCAGATGTCATTACAAACATTTTTTATGACCAACATTCAAAAAATGTCAAAGAAATCCGATTGCACATCTCATCCGCCAGCAATGATGCGTTTGATGGATGTAGGGTCCTCAGCTACCTTGTCAACCATCTCTTTTGCGATCTTTAGTCGACGTCGCTTTGTAAATAGTTTAGTTCTTTTCGCACGACACCCTTAATACCCCAAACATTAACCAAAATGTATTGAGTCCATAAGAGATGTTGAGACACTCTGCCATCGCTCTGATGCCAACACGACGGACGTCTCGCATGAGGCAGGTTTTCGCTGACTTTACGAACTTCACTGACCGATTTTTGCTACACAAATATTTGAGTAAGCAATAAGGGAGACTGCCTAAAACACTTCTGCAACACTTTCAGTAATTTCGTTGCCCTGATTCTATTGGAAATAAAAATTCAAGCAAACGCGTTGTTAAATTTTTTTTTTCCATGGTAGAAATCGCCAGACAAACGCTTCGTAAACAAACAGTTGCCAAACATACACCCACTGACATATGGAGATCAAATTTCACAATAACATAGAAAATGGTTTCAAAAATCAGTCCGGGTCAAATTTGATGCGATGGTATAGTATCCTGTTTTTGTCGGTTAAAGTGGAGGTGCCTGACTAAAATATGGTAGTTCAAAAAGCTCGTTCACACTTTCACCAAATTCTTACTTATTTATAAAGAGTCAAAAGCATCAAACGCGCGTACCACATGGGTCAGCAGTGTCAAACTGTGGCGTGATACGTGTGGTCAAGTGCATTTGCACGGTTCAATCAAGTGTTAATAATCGGGAAAGCAGTGTCTATGGCGTATGTTTTTAACTGAGTGGTTAGCTGTTACTTCATATATGTTAATACATATACACATACAGTTTAAACATAAAAATAATTGTACTATGAGTTTAAGCTGACAAGTTAGCCGCAACTCGCTTCTACTCGACCTTTTTTAGAGTAGAAAGAAAAGTAAATGAATTAGCAACGATATACCAGATATTTATTTAAAATTTTATTAAAATGTTAGTTTCGTTAGTTTAGTTTTGAAATCGATATATAACTTCCTTATGAACCACAAAAATATAGATTTATCAGTAGTTATATACAAAATAAATATATTTTTGTAACCTTTATGCGTTCAACTCATTAAAAGTTGAAGGTTTAACGCGCCACTAATAAATACATACAAAAATATGTATGTAAATACTTATATACTTAGGACTGGGTGATATATATTGACATATGTATGCATATATGTATGTATGTATGTATTTGAAACATACAGTTTGTGAAAAAATGTACTTTGCTAGTTTATGTTTTGTATACGCTCAACTATAGTTACAAAAGATATACATAAATATGTATTTATGTATGTAGGTGTGAGGGGACGGCTTAGAAAAAGTTGTCATTAACTAACGAGAATTTTATGCGCTTAGAAATGATGAGCAATGCCTCTGGGTGTGACAACAATAAAAAAAAAAAAGAATTTCAATGAATACGCATTACACATGCAGTCAGTATGCTAACTAAAGGTATGAGAGGGTTTTACTGCGGCTTTTTGTTTATTAGAATTTTTGATGGGTTCGCAACATGAAAAGACTTGCCAGTATTCTGGGTATTTATGAAAAAAACAACAACACATACTTACCAACCCGTGAATTGTTTCGTTCCCAAAAGCTCACCTTGCACCAGAAAGGTTTTTACTCTGAATCTTAGGATAATTATTAATTTAAAAATTTTAAAAATTTATCAAAATAGTCCTTACTTCAGTGACGGTCACTTACTTTCACTAGTACCTTCTGCTCAAATATAAACGAGACTGGCTCAAACAACAAAAACGGTTAATTATTCTTCAATATTTATTTTATCCCTTTCAAAATAGTCACCATTAGAGCCGATACACATATGCCACCTTTTTTTCCAATCTTCCTAACACTTCTGGTAGGCCGCTTTAAGTATGGCTTTCAGTTCCTTCTTCGAATTCTCTTTTATGACTTCAATCGACTGAAAATGCTTTTCACTAGGCGGCAATTTGAGTTTAGGGAAAAGAAAAAAGTCACACGGTGCCATGTCGGGTGAATACGGTGCTTGCGGAACAATATTTACGTTGTTTTTGGTCAAATTATCGCGTACAAGACGAGACGTATGAGCTGGATTTTGGAACAAGTCGAGCAGACACAAGTCTCATGCCCAAAATATCGTGAATAATGCTATGAGCGGATCCATTTGTTATGTTGAGCTCACTAGCTATCTCTCTTTCAGTCACACGAATATTTTCCAACACAATTTTCTTTACTTCTTCGACGTTTTCTTCGTTTATTGACGTTGCTGGACGACGGTCATGGGGCAAGTTCTCCAGCGATGTACGGCCGTCCTTGAACGACTTATACCAATCAAAAATACGTGCACGTGATAGGCAAGACTCCCCATATGCCTTCTGCAACATTTTCATTGCGTCCGTCGCACTTACTCCATTGGAATAACAAAATTTCAAACAAACACTTTTTGCTCAACGTTAATTTCCATAGTAAAATTCGAAAAACACACCCGAGGTTGACTTGTTTATAGTGCCTTAAAAAAAAAACTATGTTACAGATCGCGCTCAATTTGACATGTAAACATATAACAGTCCTGCCAACCTAAGCAAAAAAAAGTATGGCCATATGTCATGTCCTTGTCGAGTTATGTATAAAGTCTCGTTTTGCGTTGAGCAGAAGGTATATTCTAGAATTGAGATGGTTACTCTCTCTCTCATTTTTTATCTTTGTTGCAAGAAACTCTCTTAATAACCATCCGTAAGGTTTCCCTTAGCGACCGAATCCAAGTCAATGCATTTTTATGGTGGAGGCACACATTTTTTCGGAAAATTATTCTGCAGGGCTTTATTCTGCAGGAAACTGTTTACTTGTGACCGTTTTACCCCTCTCTAGGTAGTCGATGTAAATCGCACCTTGTGAATCCCAGAAAACGGCAGTTTTCATCTTTACGGACAATAGGACAGTCGTAGTCTTCTTTGGAAGAAGTTCACCGGAGGAAGTCTACTGTCTCAACTTTTCCTTGGTCTCTGGTGTTTACCAGTGGAAGCACATTTTGTGGACGTTAACGCAGAAATTCCTTCGTATGGCGCTTAAACAGCATTAAACTCTGCTGTGAAGTGGTCCAGAATGAAGAAACGTGGCAGCCAACTCGCAGAAGCTTTCTATGCTCAATATTAGATGCAAGATTTAATCCACGCGGTCTGCTAAAACGAAATCGTAGACCTTTTTCTTGCATGAACTATTTATTATTAGTTAATTTTGAGGGCACTGAATAACGGGTGAGAATAGGAAGTTTAATAGCGCGGTTAAGCTTTTAATGAAAAATGTTTTTTAAAAATATATAACTTTGGCAATATTGGTTAAAATGCATGCATTTAAATATAGTAAATCCTTACGTTTATAAAATTAAACTCACTTCTCTCACACTCTCTTCTAGTTGTCACAATCAACGCATATCATTGGACGTGTTAGATCGGAACGTTTTCTTGCAACGAAACCCGATGAAGATCGTCGTAGACGAACCATTATCATTGAAAAGAAGAATGACTCATACGGCTTCACACTGCAGAGTTATGGCATACATTATAAGAAGGATCAAGAAGTAGAAATGATTACATACGTCGATTATGTGGAATATGATGGACCGGCTTATAAGGCTGGCATGCGCGAAGGTGATGTTATACTCTCTATAAACGGTAGTGATATGGAGAAAGCAGATCATAAGACAATAGTCGATTTTATAAAGAGCTGTGATACGCGAATGCGTATGGTTGTGCTTTTTGAAGACTGTGTGCGTAAGGTATGTATGAATCCATAACATATTGTAGTAATATTTTGTTATAATCACTTTCCTGCCACTGACAGGTGGATCTCCACATGCGCTACATACAATTACAAAACTTACTGCACAGCAAAATGAATGAACTGGAACGAATTTGTCTGCGAGAACGTGAACTACTAGAAGGCAAATGGAAGACACATAGCTTACCGGCGCGCAAAAAAGCCACCACGTCACCGACTGACGCCGAAAGCGGTACCTCGCCAACAGATGGTGAAAATTTACCATACTATCGTCCCGCACTTTCCACCGAAGATGTTCCCAGCATGGCAAGATTTCAGTCACAACAGCAGGCCATCATACCGCCACCAGCACAATTTACGCTCACCTATCATTACTTGGATCCGACCTATCGTTATGTAATGAAACCGGTCACATCCAATAGCAGCGGCGAACATTTAGCTAGCTCCAGCGGTGGTGCTGATGGTATACAGCGTAGTCCAAGTGATCAGCACTTCATTTTACGTCATACAGAATCGCTTGACACGGCCACAGGCTTAGCAAACCTTTCGCATCGTAGCATCTTGAGTCAGCCACAGAGCGGAGCCAGTGCACAAGCACCAGTACCGCCACCGCGTACTTGTGAAAAACATAAACCACCAAATAAACAGCACTCAGTGGAACAACAGCATTACCAACAAAAACAGCAGCACCAACATCAACAAACCACAACGCCGATTATGGCACAAAAGACACACAAATCCGCAAAACATTGCTATGGTCATTCATGCAATCCCTGTATCGGTCACTTTCGGTGGAAATCGGCCGAAAAAGCAGCAGCTGCCGCGGCTGCAATGGGTGGTGCTGGCGGTATGACCGTCACTGGTGGAAATGGAAATGGTAATGGAGACAATATCAGTTTAGATGCGTATGATCTGGCAAGTCCGTGCTGTGATGCGCATTGCGTGCCAACGCGACGTCGTACACGTCATAAGGAACACACACACAAACATAAACATCGTGATCGTGAGCGTGATTCCAAGGAACGTCAACCTAGGCCTAAGTCGCAGACTTCACACACCTCACCCGGTGTCACGCGTCATCATATGCATCATCATCACCATCATAACACACAGGACATGTTGCAACAGCAACCACAGCAACAGCAGCTACAACAACAGCAGCAGCAACATCATCACCATCATCATCTTTCACCACAACAACAACAGCAACATCAACATCTGAAACAGTCACAGCCACAACCACACGGTAATTGCGATTCTCACAATGGCAGTATGCGTTCCCGTTATTATGATTTGACCACCGGTCTAATGAGCCACTGCAGTCTGCATTCTTGTACTTCGAGTGAATTCGCGCCGGCGGACTCTACGTCTTACACCACGTCGCTGAGTACGGACACTTTGTATTGGGACCCAAAGAGTGAGCACTCAGCATCACGACAACACTCCACCAAATCTCGCCAGTCTTACCAACAACACGCGCAACAACATGCACAACAGTCACAACAACAGTCGCAATCACAACACCATCAACAGCAACAACAACCGACGGCGCACGTGCACGGCGTCTATCAGCAACGTTATCACATTACTGCCACCCAAGTGCAACCTTCGCAGATCTATCCACAAGCCACTTACGTGCAAAAACCGAAGTCATGGGATAATCTGACAACCAAAGCGGTAGGCGGTTATGGCATTGGTTATGGCTACTTGGACACAGTGACCGTAAAACCAGCTATGAAACTACAAATCGCACAACAACGTCATTCCATACCACGTAAAAATCCCTATGGTCGCTATTCCACTTACACTGATGTCGAAAACTATGCGCCACCGCCATCACAATTTGTCGAAGAACTTATTACGACAACGACAACAACGAAGATTATGGCTAAATCAACGGAAGAACTGATTGCAGCACCGGTGCCGCAAACAACTTGTGATTGTATGACGAAGCAGCAGCAACAAGCTCTCAAAGCGGCCCAATATCAAATTAATCAGGCGGCAAAAGTTTCGCATCATAACAACTGTCAAATGGGCTACTATTCACATTTACCACGCCCGACATTGGACGCGGGCACTTCCACAGTGCAGACGACAACAACTGGTGTTTCGGGTGATGTGGCGACGGTATCCGAAGTGACACGATTGTAGGCAACGCTCGTTTAGACCAATCAAATAGGAAAGCGAAAATTGGTCTAAATTAGAATTGATGACATTGGAAAGCGTGAGCTAGTAGATAGGAGGAACGGGGATACAAAAGGTATATGCAGTAAAAATCGGAGACACTAAACTTGGGAAGTTATACAAGATTTTCAAACGAAACTCTAGAGTTTTGGTTTAGGGCTATGGACTTAATATCACCACAAGTTGGTAGGTTGTTTAAAATTTTTCTCTCGGCAAGTGACCGAGTGAAATTCCGATAATCGTCGGTATAAAAAGGGACTAAAAAATTAACTGCAGCTCGCAAGTAAATTAAGTTGCTTACAACACTATACCAAATTTGTTGCTTAACATCGCACTTATTTAAGATTTCAACTCAAAATTTAGCACAGCTAAGTTACACAGAAGGAACCGTAAATGCTTATACTTCAAGCTGCTGTGAGTCATTTGGTAATAGTCATGCCATAAGTGCGCTCTAAGGATTATACGATAAGGGAGCATTTCGATAGAACTATAGAAATTCATGAAATAATCGTATAAAATATTCTTTAGGAAAACCGAAATGTATGTATCAAATACCGCTGAGATATAAAAACTGTGCTGAGAATTTTATATAATAAACCAGTAGTACATCAGTTCAGTTAGGAATTAGGTTAGATTAGAATGCCAAATCGTAATTTTGAAAGATATAGAAACAGCTGATTTTAAAAATAAACTGCCTTGGTTGGGTATATTCCCACTATGAAGATTATGCCAAATTCCATCTCGTACAAAGTTTTCTGCATACTTACTGAAGGAAAATTATGTTTGAAGAAGGGTTTAAAAAGAAAAGTAAAATGGGAAGTTATGGCTATGTTCATTTCTAGTAACATATATAATCTAAGACATTAAAATCTTTAATGAGACAAAAGAAACTATATAACGTACAGCCAAATATATTGATATATTATATTGCACAATATACTGAACTTTTACTCATCCATTACATACAACGATATTAAAAGAAAACGAAACGTTACACGAGCCAGTTTTTAAGCATTTTTAAACGACACTCTCGAACAAATTTTTAGAATGTAAAAAAAGACTCGAAAAGTAAACGATGCAATAACAAATTTGTAGGAGTTTATATGTATATGCATATAGTGTTTATGTATGCCTGTATAGAGTAGAGCCGTGCGCAGTTTTTTAAACCAACCAAAAAAAAAAAATAATAATAAAAATAGAGTTCCGAAACAGTTACTTTAAAGTTCAAACAGCCAAATTAAAGATATATGCCATAAAAAAAAAAAACGATTTCGTTTATACAGTGAAGAAAAAATAATTTTTATAGTTTTTTTAAATCATGGTAACTTAACTATATTTACATACATACTTATGAAATGTTATAAATAGTGCTCATATATAACCAAAGATATATTAAATTTTAACGTAGAAAAACAAGAGTAACGATATAAGCTTGCACTAAACTGTGAATATGTTTTAAGTTTCAAAAACCAAAAAATGTATGTACAATTTAAATTAATTTAAAATATCCCCTATATATGTATATATTTTAGCTCATTATATTTTTTATTGAAGACTGAATTGCATGCCCACCTTTAGGTATATGCCAGCTAAGCTTAGCAATTTAGTTGCAACAAATTTCACAAGATTTAACGGAATAATTAAAGGCAAATAATTTTATTTAAATAAATTGTGATATTACATAGCACATACTTAAATATTGTATAACATACTTGTAAAGTCTCTATGACTATGTGGCCATAAAGGCGACATGTTTTTCATCTTATGTCTGTAGCCGCAATTTTTGCATTTAGTTAACAATATTTAACAAGCACAAAAATATTTATAAAACTAAGGAATGAACAAAATATATAAACACGCATATACTTACACATATGTTACGTATGTACGTTCATACATACAAAGCGTAAGTTACGTAATTAAAGCGCATATATAATAATACTTTACATTTTTTATGAGTCACACATCATAGCTGTGAAGTACTTATATACATACAGTAAAGAATACATATGTGTTTAAAATGAATAAGTTGCTAATAATAAATTCTGTTAAATACAGGAAAAAAATTTATTCGTGTTTAGGAGCTAAATATCGCTAATATGTATTTTTTTCAAATCACTATTGTACGAGTTGAAAAGATAAGGAAACTGTTAAAAGAACCAATAGAAATAATCTCTAGGAAAACTAATGTAAAGACTAATAACTAGAAGCTCTATTAAGGATTTGATCGGAGACATGTTGGTTTACGACATCACCCGTCCATGCGCTGACTACTCACTTTATTTCATATCTATATGAGCGCGTTTTCCCAAAAGAAGTGGCACAATTCTGACAACACTACAAAAGATATTTAAAATCTGTAATTTGTTGCTAATTCACAAAACAACTAACTATGTTTTGGCAGGAGCTTTTTTGGAAAATATATATTTTTTTAATTTTTGCAGTTTTTTATACTCTTGCAAAATGTTTTGCCACAGAGTATAATAGGTAACTTAACCTACTCCCAACTCAAGACTCTCCCACGGAACCACCTGATTAAGTATTATTTCGTGGGAGTGATAAGACATTTAAGTCTCCTCTATAGTACGGACTGACGGACGTCTTTCCATATGGCTTAGTTTTGTCATGATTGAGGCTGCCGCTTCGCTGACAGCTTTGTAATTCTCACTGGACTGACACATAAGTGTCGTCAAGTTTTCCACCATAAAACTACCACCGAGTGAAGTTTTAAGTTTTTCCCTTGTACTCGAAAAGCGAGGGCAATAAAAGAATACATGCTCAGAGTCTTCTATGCACTCTGTACACATCGGACAGTTCGGACTAACATCAAGATGGAATCTATACAGGTAGCTTCTAAAGCACCCATGTCCACTTAGTATTTGGGCAAGGTGGAAATCCAGGTCCCATGTCGTCTGTCTATCCACGGGTGGATTTCCGGTATAAGTCTGTGGGTCCACCGTCCTTTGAGCGAGATTTGCCACCGCTGCTGCCATATTGATAAGCTTTTGACTCTCTCTGCTCTTTTGGCTCCTATAGACGACTCTGGTAACTTGTTTACTGGCTCGAATTCGTCACCCTGGTTATCAATGGCATCATCATACTGGCTATTACTTCCGCAGCCTCGCTGGATATCGTTCGGAAAGCACTGATTACTCTTAGTGCCGACAGCTTTAACGTTTAACGCCTGGATCCATATTGGGGCCGCATATAATACAACCGATCTCATTACCTTTGCGAGTAAAAATCGCCGGCTGGAACGTATGCAGCCTTTATTTCCCATCATTCTTGATAAGGCGTTGAGGATTTTGCTTGCTTTACTAGAGGTGTATTCTAAGTGCTCCTTAAATTTAAGCTTTGAGTCTATTATTACTCCCAGATACTTTAGTTGTGGCTGTGATTGAATCTCACACTCCCCTATAGTGAGAGATATTCGTTCCTCCACTTTCCTAGTACTTACTAGCAAGACTTCTGTCTTGTGCTCAGCCAGAACTAAACTCCTTGAGGAGAACCATTGCCGCAGACTATTGACGCATTCATTGCATTTGCTCCGGAGGTCATCTAGCTGTTTAGCCACTGCTACCACTATAAGATCATCTGCGTATGCGATTAATTTCACGGATACTGGTTGGTTTATTCTTAGCACCCTATCATACATCACGTTCCATAGAAGTACCATAGTACCGAGCCTTGCGGTACTAAACTCGAAATAGCGTAGCTCTTGGTGCCTTCATCAGTGTCAAATATTAGTTGCCTGTTTTCAAAATAACTTATAATAATGTTTACAAGATATTGAGAGCGCGTATTTCATACAGAGCCTTGAGTACAATAGGTATGTTCACCTAAGGGTTGTTTGTATCACCTAAGAGTAATCGAGGTTATATATAACATATACATATATACGGTGTACTGGTATGAACTGAGTGCTAAGATACAAATGTGTTGGTAGGGAACAGTTTGGTTGGCATGACATCTGTCAAACATATTCAATAACCTTACAGTCATTGAATAAACAACATCAAATTTTGATTTGCGGTAAGCATAAATTTTTTGTTTCCATTTGAAGAAAAGTGCTGCAGAGTCGCATCGAATGCTTGTCGAGGCATATGGTGATCATGCTCTGTCAGAATCAACCTGCAAAAGATGGTTTCAACTGTTCAGAGATAATGATTTTGATGTGAGAAATGAAGAACGTGGAAGACCACCAAAAAAGTTTGCAAACGCCGAACTGCCAGCAATATTGGATGAAGATGACACACACATGAATTGAATGAAAGACAAACGGAAAATCGAAAAAACACTTGTGAAATTTTGCTTCAAAGACACGAAAGAAAATCAGTTTTTCGTCGAATTGTCACTGGCGATGAAAAATGGATTTATTTTAAGAATATTAAACGGAGAAAATCATTGGTTAATCCGGCACAACCATCAACATCGACTGCAAAAACAGATCGATTCGACAAGAATACACCTGTACTTAAAGCAAAATCGGTTCAGGATACAATCAAAGTACTTGGAAGCTGCTACCCCAACCGTCGTTTGCACCAGGCTTGGCAATTTCCGACTACCATTTGTTTTCATCGATGGGACACGCATTGGTGGAGCAGCACTTCGATTCCTACGCAGAAGTCGAAAATTAGGTGTCTGATTGGTTTGTTTCAACAGACGAACATTTCTACAGACATGGTGTCCAAAAATTGCCAGAAGGTTGAATAAATTTGTTTACTTTAATCGGAGAAATACACGCCTACTTCCTATATAACACAACTTTAAATTCCATATGATTCTTTTCCACCAATGAATATATCGGGATTGAACTTACGCATTCTCTGGAGGTTAATGAATATACCCTAGTAGCCTTCTTACACATAGAGGGTGCTTTCAATAACATCTAGCCTAGGACCATACTGAGCGGGCTTAAAGATTTGGACATCTCTGAATCTCTCAGAATATTGATTGAACAGATGGTCACGAGCAGGACAATTATTACAACGCTTCAAGCTTCAACGATGCGCCGGTATCACAATGGGCCTCCCTAAAGCCTTAGGTGCGTCGTCAGATAGCCACACTACCTACCCTATCTTTTAGCGTATATATATTTATGTAGGGCAATATGTAATAGTATGTTCGCACCGAATTGAAATCCTCTTGAAAACACATTAATATTAATAGTAGATATGCTATAGATATGCTATAGTTTTATACCGGATATATGTGAAATTAGCCTACGAATTACTCCAACTCCCATATACTGCATGTAATGATCTTCGTTATTCTAATAAACCCTATGCTGAATATGTCGATCAGTGTACATATGAGTTATATATCTATAAATATGTTCTCGAGTATATCTGAGCAATTCTAAAGGTTAATGCAAGAAACTCAGACCTATCTTTGCCCCAATATATCCTGTATAGTGATCTCCGATTTTTCAGCAGACTTTAAACCATTTAGTTTGGTCAAAATGTTTGATATTTTCATGAAATTAAGTGAACAAGTTTGTGCGGCTTGGAGTGATTGGAGTTGGCCTAGACTTATGTCAAAACCTCATATCCGATCCTCTAGTAGAGGTTTACCACATAAACATAATACAAGTATATTAAATTTAGCCTTTCGCTTGAGTTTATATCACATCAGTGGAAGATGATTTTATTATAATTTTAGCTGAGGCGAAGTAAAATATAGCAATAAAACTAAGTATGTCTATGGCTCATAATGTAACTTTATAAAATATTAAATTTGTTTGTAATCCATTCACGATTTCGAATAGTGACAGTTTAATTCTTTCGCGACATTGCATCCTGAACAGCGTCCAGGGCTACGAAGTTTGTAGTTTTTGAGATATCGATCTGAAATTTTGCACACGTCCTCTCTCCTCAAGAAGTTCCGCATTTGCCGATATCGGACCACTATGGCATATAGCTGCATTACAAACTGAACGATCGGAATCATGTGCTTGTGTGGAAAACTATTTGACTAGATATCTTCTCGAAATTTAGCAAATATTATTGTCCAGGGGAGCATATAGCTGCCATACAAATTAACCGTTCAAAATCAAGTTCCTACAAGGAATATTTTGTATTTGTGAAGGGCTTCGGTGCAATCCAAGTTAACATTTTTTTAAGGATATATATTTTAGAGGGTCTCCGACTCTTCGTTTTGGGTATTACAAACCACGAACTTAATATACCCTGCTTAGGTTATAAATATTAAAAACAGATTATAAAAAAAATTTAAAAACAATGTACTACTTTTATATTTTCAATCAAGAGAAAAATAAATCAAAAATACTTTTAATTCTTAATAATAAATAATAATTAAACGGACAAATAATAAAACAAAATAATACTTAATTAAAATTATAAGTATTGTAATAAGAAACTAATGGTAGAAGTAATACAAATTCGGAGAAGTACTTAAATTCGACCTGCTATCATAAAAGTAAACAGACTAAGCTAACATGATCGGGCAGTTTGAACGACAACTATATCCTACGGTGACCCGATCTGACCAATTTGTTTGAAGATTGTTGCGTTGCCTAGGTTCATGCCAAATTGTCTGAAGATATCTTGTAAAATAAAAAAGTTTTGTGTATGGAAACTTTTCTTGTGTTGTAAACAAAGGTTGTTGACTTTGCTAATTATAAACAAAGGTAGTTTACCATAAAATGTGTGCAAAAGGGTCATTGACACCATACAATGTAAACAACGGAATCATTGACTTCAGAATGTGAAAACAAAAGGTTAATGGACTCCTTAAAGTGTAAATAAAGTAAAACACTTTTTTTTTCAAGAAACTTGTCATTACTCGGAATCGCCTATATCGGATCACTTTAAGATATAGTTGCCTTACAAAGAGCTCGGTGAAAATCAAGGTCTTGTATGTACTTTTTAATTTGACAATTTATCTTCACGAAATGTGGCATGTATTATTGTCCAAGGAACTACTACAAATATATTGTTCAGATCGGACCATTATAGCATATAGCTGCCATTAAAAGTGATTGAAAAATATCAAGATAAAGGTTTTTTATACCCTTTATGCTGTAAGAAATTACGCTGTGAAGGATATTCGAAACTCGGTGCAGCAGATGTTAATGTTTTTTTCTAGTTTAATATAAAGATTTGCGAGACCTGAAGGTATTTCCCTGCTTTGATCCTTGCAAGTTACAAGAGTTTGGTTACACCTGCATTTAGTAATACCTTACTTGTTTTAACTTGCAAAACATGGTCAAGAAAAGCACTTTTTAAATCGCTGCAATTATGTCAGATTTCCAAATATTTACCATCAGTTAGCTTGTTTAGTAGGGATTATATGTATTAGGTAAACAGTTTTTTTTTGTCTCAAGGTCCTGAGGCTGAAATTTATTGCCAAGAAATCGATTATGTCGCCCCGCAGCGTTCCATTCATGAACGCATCAAGTGTAGAATTTTGAAACAAATTGTCCATTCTTTTTCTATGTCAAAGTTTAAGAATTAATTACGCAAAAATTGTGTAGTTTTTTGCAATCCATCATCAAAAATAAGCTCGAAATTCGAGCGCGAAGGCAAACGACCCTTTTAAGACCCCCCTTTTATATAAACTGCACAATAATGGCTTTCGAACATATCATTTTCGAGTATTTCACATATTATTTCTTGTAAATTGTAAAAGTAATGAAAGATGCGCTGTGGTCGAATATATGCCTCTTACTTGTTCAAACAAATTTTGACGAAATATTATGGATTTACTTAAGCCTCCGAGACTGAATGTATCTCTGGATTTTTATTTTTTCGTGTCTAAAGTATTAAGATGTTCTAAAACATGTTATAGAACCGCTAGCTCTTTTCGTTTTAAAACGATTGACAATGGAATTTGATAAACTGTTATTGCTGAAAATGATTTTGGTTTCTTTTTATTCAAGTTAAAATGGATACTGTATTCTAACCTCAAAATTTATATTTTCAATATATATTATTAGTTAGCCGTTAAATACACTGTTGAGGAAGCAGATACAAGCACCCTACCATTGAGCACTTCCGTCGTTCAGTTTTGTAAAAGTGGAACTCTTTAAATATATTTCTAAAGCATTTGGTGAACCCTGTCTTCATTGTAATGCGGTGAGTAATAAATGAGTATGAAATCTCTGCATTGAGTAGCACAAGCGTAATACTATACTCAAATTACAACAAATGCAGAGAGTTGTGAATGCGTTGCACTGTGAGCGCATAAAGCAGCGCCCACACAAAAAATTCCGAAATCACCCTCAACATTCAAATTGTTGGCAAAATGCTCACAATCGCTTCTCACAGTGCTCACTGCACACGCGCATAATTATAGGTCGTTATGGTGTGTGCGGTGTGTAAAAAATCAATAAACCACCCTTCGTTAAAAATGTAAATCCGAAAAAGTTCAATATCGAAACAATACGTAGACGTAAGTGAGCACAATTTTAAATAGGAAAAAATCATCAAATAATTGCTAGTAAACTAGTTTTAAATTAATGAAAACCAATTAATCATTTAGTGTAAACGTGTAGCCATTAAAAACGATAGAAATTTCATTCAAAATAACGATGAAAAGTTGATATATTGATGATGAAAAATTTTTACACGCCAAGTAGCTAGTCAGTGTGAAATAGTGAGTTACCAGCAACAACAACAATAACAGCAACAACACAAAAAAAAAGAAAAAGCGAACACCGAACGAAAGAACACCGCAGAACCGGCAAATTCGCACATACGAACATATGTCAAAATTTGAACGGCAGCAGTAAAAGCAAAAGCAGCGACAAAAGAGGCACACATTTCGAGTCCGAGTTCGAGGACGTGTCCGAGCCAGGCGCAGCAACGCGAAACTGGTCAGGCGAACGCGTGTACAGCGGCAGCAGGGCGCAACGGGAGTCGCCGTAAATCGACCAACTGTAAGCGCAACAAAACGTTTTTCGTGGACTCACTAAAATGCCGCAAATGCCGAATTAATTCCAGTTTTTAATAGAACTTTGCGATTAGGTTTCGGGAAAATCCAAATTAATCGGGCAAATGCCATGAGTTTTGTGTTTCAAGCAACGCTTCGAAGTATGGTCACATCAATGGAATAGAATAGCAGGCCGAAATTTTTTTTCCCGCAACGCGAAGTAAAACGTGTGGGTGTTTAATATCGCTGAGGTATCGTGACGTATGTGTAATCAGTGGTCATTGCAAAAAAGAAATTCAAAATATATATATGTATAACGCCTAAATGCACACTGCAAAATTGCTATGCGAGCATGTGTAGATGAGTCTGTCTGCCGTGCAGGACATGTAAGGACCTTAAACACAAAGGAAGCAGCGACAAGCGCGGCAAAGTGTGAAACATCGAAATCACGCTAAGTTAAAGTAAACCGAAAATAGTAGAATTCAAGCGAAAAGACGACGACAACGATAAAAAAGCATACAAGTGCAGAAGACGAATTGAATGCAAAGATAAATACGAAAACAAGAACAACAACAGCAGCAAGCTAAGCAGTGAAGCCAAGCAGCGCTGGCACGGAAACGCTTGTAGTGGGTGTCTCGCCGCGGAGTGGTAACTGCACAGCGTACGACGGGCAGAGTAAGCGGCAGAGGCAGCGGCGCTAAGGATAATGGCAAAGAGCAAAAACACGAAAACACAATGAGCTGCGGTTTCACAAAAAGGTACAAACGTGTGTTGAAATGCTTTCGTATTAACTGCAAACACACACATATATACGCGGTTAGTGTTCTTGAGTGCGAGTGTGTGTGCCTCTACGCGTGCACGCGCAGGACTTGTAGGCGCCAGCAACGGTATGGTGACTCTGTGCATGGTTACCGTGGTCAAGTTTTGTGGCAGTATGCGTGTAGAAGCGCCAAAAATATTTGCGTTAATTTTCCATAAGTGTTTTAACGGTTTTTTAATTAATTCATATTCGCATCAATTTATATTAAAATACGATAATTGCCTCGTTTAGTGCGTGCAGCATATGCGATTACTTTCTCAAAGGTCAATATGCCACATCCAATTACATATCTACATAAATAGATAAATACAAATGTATAAGAGTGTGTGTATATTTCTGTCTGTTTTGCTGAATTCGTTGAATGAAGCTCTGAAAATCAGTTCGTATTGCAGCGGTAAATATATTTCCACTACAATGGCTTTACGAGCCCGAATCGGAATCGCAGTCAATGCCGTTATGGAAAGTAGTGAGTGTGCCGATGCTAAATACAGATGCGGAAGTGAAACTAGAAATTCGTATAGTTGTCCAATGAGTTGTGAGCGAGGTGCGTGTGTGGAGAGTAGTCGCTTGAGTGGCTTTACGAAAATGTTGGCTGTCAAAACGTGCCAAAAGAAAATATTTATATATGTTAAATAAATTAGGCTAGGTCAATAGGCATGGTAAGTGGATGTGTGTGTGTGTGTCTTTACATACAAAAAAGTATGTTTAATTACTGACGAAAAGTGCTAATGGTGTATTAATTGTTAATGAAAATTAAAAAATAAACGTAAAATAAAAAAGGAAAAACGTAAGAAAAGTAAAACAGTAAGAAAAGGCTAACAAATTGATTGATTTTGACAGATCACAATGAAAAGTGGTACTAACGCAAATATAAAATCAAAATGTATGAAGTGCAAAAGTTTAGAAAATCTGAAAACCTAAAAAAAGTAAAACATGCGTGAAGAGTTCCACATTAATAAAAAATAAATCAGAACACTACTCTAATATAATATATTATATATGGTATATGGACAAGTGATTATAAAAATTAATTTTTGAGCACTTTAAATATTTATAAAAAAAAAGGTTTTACAATCAACTATATATGAGATTGAAAGTATGTATGTAAATGAGCACATGGAGTTTCTTTCCAGCATCTCAAGCAAACAAAAAGGAATCACTGCCTTGGCACACCAAAAGTAGGCCACTGCATTTGTATTTCCGCATACATAATTTTAAACGTACACAACTACACATATAAATAATTTATATATATTTTTGAGTGTCTGTGAGTGAGAGTGTAAAAGCTTATTTACTAATTTTTTATGCTTTCATACTGGTCTATGTACATATTTGGCAAATCATCTAGCGTACTTTCAAAATTAAAATTATATGTATATATACCATACATATCATACACATCTGCCTATATTTATGCCTTTAAGTTCGTATATAACTCAGAAAATATGCATCTAAGCATTATGAATTAAAAAATTTCATGTTCTTTTATATTTGATTATTTATTTAAAAAATCATTATATTATGAATGCTTGTTATTTCCTCCACGTATGTATGCTAAGTTTGCCATGAAGTGTGTAATATCCAGATGGCCGATAAAGAATATCAGCGTGACGAGCTGAGTCGATTTATCAGAATAGTCGCTTTGAAATATAGTTATGAGATTTTGTTCACGGCTTTTTCTCCTCAAGAAGCTTTTCATTAGTCGAAACCTCCGATATCGGACCACTATAGAATATAGCTGCTCTACAAACTGATCGCAGAAATTCCAATACTTCTATGGAAAACTTTTTCATTTGACAAGATATCTTCACGAAATTTGGAACATATTATTATCCAAGGTAACGCGACAATGTCGGGATATATGGGTCTGATCAAAGCACTATAGCATAAGCTGCCGTACAAACTGATCGATCAAAATCAAGTTAAAAATCTTTGTATACCCTGTAATACAAAAAAAAAATCACACCTGTTAGGCCGAAGTTAACGATTTTTCTTGTTTTAAAGAGAGCATGCTATTTTTTCACTATAGAATATCTTGCATTGCTACATGTGAGGTCGTGTATATTATTATGGTATAACCGCAAACCTCTCATTTCGTATTCGTTGAATTGCGTGACTTAATTTCTATTATTGAATTAAATACCAGCTATAATTGAAACAAAGAAACCGTTACATTACCAAAGTATGTGTATGTGTGAGTGTATAAAATGTGTTAATTGCTGGCAGTTTGCTATTGCTGAGCAATTAAAAAAAACGTGGAAAAGACTTAATTGTGAATGAAAATTACTTATACCACATACACACTCTGAAGAAACAAGTTGAAATATTAAATTTCATTAGAAATATATAGCAATCATCAAAAGTAATGTTATTACAAACACTTTTATGACTTCTTATCGCTTGTGTACAACATTAAGTCTGCTGAGAATCATTATCGCCAAGCAGGTGTTCGGAAGCCAATATCAAAATAATTGTGTGAAAGCTATATTCTGTCTAAGATCTAATTTAATTATCCTCATTAAGAGTATTATTATTTGAATTCCACTAAAGATTTATTTTTCTTTTACTTCTTAAAGAAGAACTAGAGTGCTATAGTTGCATGCCCAAAACGCTTTGAGGTCATCGTGAATGTGTATACTTAATGTCAGCCTAACATTTACAGTGCGATGGTTTTCAATTTCGGTTTTTAAGAAGTCTAAATTTCTAATTAAATTGCTAATCATTATTATTTCTTAAAATTTACCAAATTATATATAATGCACCATCATAAACGCCCGAATAGTTCGTAGCATAAATAAAACACCAACCTGTGACAGGACGATCCTAGTAGCGTTGGACTTGTCCAAAGCTTTTGACACAGTCAATCACACAACGCTACTAGAAGACATCGAACAATCGAGGGTTCCGTAGGATGGTGTCCTCTCCCCACTACTATTTAACTTTTATATTTCGCAATCCAACCACTAGAGGCAATTGCCATCGCCTCATACGCACAGCTAGTTCACCCCACTAAAACCACAGCGACCATATTCACGAACTAGACGTAGGAGTACAGACTGAATTTTAATATTGTAGTCGATGGCAGAAAAATTCCGGCTGTCAACCAACCTAAGAAAAGTGCAAACAAACGTTGTTGGCAATATACAAGACAATCGGGCGGCTGGTCACCAACTACACAGCACCGATATGGTAGTCTGGATATATTGAAATGCAGATGAAAAAGCTTTAGACATGTTAGAACTGCACTACGTACGATCACAGGAAAGCCTCCTGATGTTAGAAGGTCATTGTTTGATTACTTCGACGACATTAAATAGTACGCCGAACAGACTACGGACTCAACTAACTTCAGACACACACTAACCACCATTCACAGTGGAGAAATTAACACCTTCACCGACTCTCTCCAAGTGAATGGTGTACTTGGTATTAAACCCCCACCTATCGCAGACGAAGTACTTGAGTTGTCCTGAGAATTTAGAGTGATCCTTGCGTGACTTCGTTCTGGATATTTAAACTCCTACCAATGCAGAATTGACCTCGACATACCAATTAAACTCTTACTAATTCAGAACTAACCCCGACATATTAAATATATGTGTGCTGCGTGTAATGAGTCCCCGCATGACTCTAACCCCCTCTTTGCATGCCCAATGAATCCTACTCATCTTTCCCTATGGTCCGATCCCGTCGAAACAGCACGTTTCCTGGGACAACCAACCTGAACCTTACCAACCAAGCGGGTATTAGATAACCGCTACAACAACAACAATAATAACTACCGCGATTTCAACAGACATTTCAGAATAGTAAATACTAATTAAATTTTATTCGCTAAGCGAATTTATTTAGTTTTTTTGTTGCTGTGTTGACTTTATTTAGCAAATAAATAATATAATATGTTTATTGCGTGTCAACAAAACACGGATACATCCGAGTTATTCGCTCAAATAATAAAAATAATTAAGTATGAAATTAATAAGTCCTTAAGTCAGCCATTAAAGGCGCTCAATGAACAATAAAATTGTTTATGTAATAAAATTATATAATAATAATATATAATATATAGGCTTTTTCAACTAAGTCACTAATACATAAACAAATGCTGTAAAAAACTTTCCTTTACCAGCACACAAATAAATTTCAATATAGGTTAAATTCTTTGTTGCATACTTGCTAACAAACCGTTATATGCATATGTAATATGTCACTGTAAACTTGCGTGCGGCAAAAATTACTCACTTTTCAATCATAAAAAGGCTAACAACAACATAAAACACATCTATAAACAGCAACCGCTAGAGCAAAGAGTCCACACAACTCTTTCGGGTGTCGTCAAAATTGCCGTTAAGGACATGAATTGTGCTCGGCGATAAATGTATAATACAAATTAGTGCGTACAAACACTTTTTAATAAATACACATATGTTTTAATATATTTATGTGTGAAGATTTAAACCACCTGAGCGCGTAAAATTAACCTATTTTCGGATATATGTGCATAATATAATATATGTACACATATACACCAGTATATATATAGAATATGAATGTATAAAATGGTGTAATACTTTTCATCCATTTAAACAGATTATCGAACAACGCTGTGTTATCCACAAACAATAAAATAAATGACCTGAATAATTAATATGAACTCAATTAGAGCGTGTTTTTTTAACCCATAAAAGTTCAAAAAATGGCAAGTAAGAAATGATTACTTTCGGTCGGTTGCAGACGAACATTATATACTTGTAGTGTGTGTGCTAGCATAATATCTCACATAATAAAAGCCAACCAGAAGGTCGAAAATAATGATATTGAAGTTATGGGAAATCTAGACCGGTTTCATCTAATTTTTGTATTAACAAAAATATCCTCGAGGAAATATGCTCATCCAATTTATTAACATAACTCACACATTTAAACTACAGTACATTG